GCTGGAGGGGAGTGTGGAGTGGACAAGGGAGTCACGGAGAGAGTGGTCCCTCCGGAAAGCAGATAAGGGTGGGGAGGGAAAAATGTCTTTGGTGGTGGGGTCGGATTGCAGATGGCAGAAGTGTCGGAGGATGATGCGTTGGATCCGGAGGTTGGTGGGGTGGTACGTGAGGACGAGGGGGATTCTGTTTTGGTTGTTATTGCGGGGACGGGGTGTGAGGGATGAGTTGCGGGAAATGCAGGAGACACGGTCGAGGGTGTTCTCGACCACTGAGGGGGAGGATGTTGCGGTCCTTGAAAAACGAGGACATCTGAGATGTTCGGTAGTGGAATGCCTCATCCTGGAGCAGATGTGGTGGAGGCGAAGGAATTGGGAATAGGAGATGGCATTTTTGCAGGAAGGTGGGTGGGAGGTGGTGTATTCTAGGTAGCTGTGGGAGTCGGTAGGCTTGAAATGGATATCGGTTTCCAGGTGGTTGCCAGAGATGGAAACAGAGAGGGGTACAGGAAGGAGAGAGAGGTATCAGAGATGGTCCAGGTGAACTTAAGGTTGGGGTGGAAGGTGTTGGTGAAGTGGATGAACTGTTCGAGCTCTTCGTGGGAGCACGAGGTGGTGCCGATCCAGTCATCGATGTAATGGAGGAAGAGGTGGGGTTTAGGGCCAGCGTAACTACGGAAGAGGGATTGTTCCACGTAACCTACAAAGAGGCAGGCATAGCTTGGGCCCATGCAGGTACCCATGGCCACCCCCTTTGTCTGTAGGAAGTGGGAGGAATTGACACGTATGTCTATTTGGAAAACCAACATATTCGAAAAAACATACCTCTTCGATATTCCGGATCCAGTTCTTGATGTTATCAAAAGATTTTTCATTCGTGATATCATACACCAACATGATTCCCTGCCAAAGCAGAAGTGTTAAACCATTCACTGAGTGAAGGACCTCAAATTTTCATTAACACTTACCACAGTCCCTTGTTGACAAGCAGAGTACAACTGACTCTTCACATCTCAAACAATGATAATGTACAGCTTCAGAAGAATATTATGCACCTAGGTGTAAACACAGAAACACTCTCATACCTCACCCCCTTGAACTCTCAGTACAAATTAATGACCATTCAAGTTCGACTTTAAACTTTGAACAGTATCCCGTTCTTTATTAAGTGTACAATCAGCATACAGTAATTTACCCATCACCATGCCTTCCCATCATTCCATACAGCATCATGGTTAATAATATATGAAGTTGATGTGCCTGTGACACCTTACCATGGCCCCTCGGTAGTATGCAGTGGTGATTGTTCGAAAGCGTTCCTGCCCAGCTGTGTCCCTAGGAGATTTGAACAGTTTTAGTTCCATTCTTTTGATCTTAAACCAACCCTTCCACCAACTTTTTAAGACATCACATTTCACCTTTCCTTTGTCTTTTACATATCTCAGACACTTATAAAACAATTGTCCTGTGAGTTTACCAAGCACCTTACTGATTAAACTGCCACACATTCCCTTTATTCCAATCATACAAAAGGTCTTAGTGCATTTTCATCACACTGCCATCTCAGTCTCAAGGGTAGGGTTTAACTAAAATTACTCGGTTGGATGCTTCCATTTCCAGCTTGTGAGGAGCCTAATTATAAAACGCTAGAACAATGTTAAGTACAGCTACTACCTACTGCATCTATTTAGATTCAATGTTCTGGGTTTTGTCAAATGCCACATATATAATTTTCATACAAACAAGTGACCCACTCCTACAAGAAAGAAGCACAGACTCTTCAAATTGAAGTTGTTTATTTGGCCAGATCACAATTCACAATTAATCCAGATTGACTGGACAATACAGAAGATGTTTCCTCTTATCAGGGAGTTCAAAACTAAATGACATAAAATATGAGGAAGGAATTAATAAATCCAGCAGGAAACCGAGGACAAACATCTTTAATTCAGCCAAGGTACAAGGACCCTCATAAGTGCACTTGTCCAGGTAAGACCACTCTGCTAGTTCAAGCAATGAGTAGACCTGCAGCATCCATCCTCAGTTTCATTGGTGAGTCAGTCTGGTTGGGCAAATACCCCAGAAATTTGGCAATATGAATGAAATCAGTTAGGAAACATTTAAGGTTGGTTCCAATTCTGCACACTCAGTTTTATCATCTACCATGCGGATGGTCAATCTGGGGAATTACATATTAGATGCCCAAAGAAAGTACAGATACTGCACGTTGAACACACCTTCTTGGGCTCACTCCATTGGACGTTGTCTTCCCCTTCACAACTCAACATTTCATTTTTAAAATGTGAACAGCAGCTAGATTTCTAACCATCGTGTTCTACATTCTATAACTTCCCATGACTTTAACTGTCAATACCTCACACTGCACCATTAGTCAAGGATATAAAGCAGCATCCCACCATTTTGCACAGCAGATTAGAACTAGCTCCCTCACATTGCACACTTCTCTAAACAAAACAAGCATCTGAGCCACTATTCAGTGGACGAGAGCCTGGAACCCAAAATTGATCCAGGCACAAACTAGCAAATTCAATTACTTTGAATAAACAGTCTCCTCCCCACCACCGCAACCCCACATTTTAACAGAGACGTTAATAGGATCCAACATATTTTCAGAATTAGGGAAGATTTTTGAAGTGAAAGATTTGGTGAATCACTAACAAGGGGGACAGATTCAATGTTGACATGAAAAGAATGAAGCAAACAGGAATAGAAAAACACGATTCATCTCAAGTCTGTTCTGCTATTTATTATATCATGATTGATCTAGACCTTAATCCACATTAGAGCCTAAATGCTTAATATTCTTACCCGATAAAAATCTCTATTATAAGCCAACAGAACAAAAGATAGAAGAAACTTTTGTTCTCCACTCAACTCCTGGCCACTGAACATGATTCACATTAATTAAAATAGTTGACAATAATTTTTTTTTCCCCCTTTTAGATACTGCCTTCCAAATCACACCAACTTATTGAGTAACACTTCCTTTCTATCATAGGCAAAGTGTCTTGAGCAACGGCTTCTCTTTATATCTGGTACATCCAAAGACAGCTCATTTATGCATGATTGTTCACAACCTCAGCCCTCACAATATCTAAACTTCAATTCACATTTTTGCTTCCTTCAGCCTCAATCATAGTAATATTTCCCACATGGCAGCTTCCAGATTCTGCTGAGTGAGATGCAATTTATGATGAAAGGATGTTTTCCCCGATAAAGGAGTCTAGAACCAGGAATCAAATTCTCAAATGAAGGGATGTCATTTAGGCTGAGATGAAGGTAAATTCCTTTGTTCTTCTTCAAAGACTGTGTTCCCTACAAGATGCAAATATTACTTAAATGTTTTGAGAAGTTTTGGAATGCTCTACTCCTGAGAGCTGTGGATGCTCAGGTTTTAAGCATATTCATGGCAAAGATCGAAAGTTTTGCAGATACTAAGGCAAATCAAGAAATCTGGGATAATGTGGAAAGGTGCAGCTAAAAATGATCTGCTACAATCGGACTGAACAATGAAGCAAGTTCAAGCAGCTGACTGGTCCATACCCATTGACACTTCTTACATTTTTTTCACAACTTCAGGACATCCCAAAGTATTTCACAGTCAGTCAATTAAATACTTTTGAAGTATTGTCACTTATTTCAGTGGAAACAACCAAAATCGTTTTCTTTCCAAGCCTTTTGTGATTCTTGTGACACAATGCCATTCTCTTATTCATTTCCTAGATTTTTCCATTTCCCCACTTAGAAGTATACTGGGAGACTGTCAGTATTAAAAATGCATTCGATAATCACAAACTGTTTTTAAGACAGCTTACAGTATAATTGTCCAAAGACAATTTCTTATAGCTACAGTTCAAAGCTCTATTATGGAGAACATCAAAGTCACTAAATAAAAATATCCTCCAGTTAACTACTGTCCTTACAAATGATCCACTCTGTGGATACATAGCCTTTTTCAAATTAGCTGTATGCAGCGGTATCAGATTGAGCGCCAGAAGTTTAAGTATTTTCCTTATAAGAGACTTGATTTCAAGACAGATGCAATCAGCAAAATATAGAAATGTAGAAGACAGGAGCAAGAGAAGTTCTTTTGACCTTCCGAGCCTGCTCCACCATTCAATATGATCATCAAGTAGAACAGCACTAGGACTATCCTCACCATATTTGTAGTTTGATTTTTTTCCCATCCAATTCAATTGTTCGGATTTTAAAATCAATACCTGAAAAGAACAGAAAACAAAATGTGAAAGGTTGGGGGGGGGGGGGTGAAATCACTTCATTTGAATTCACTATCTTATCCTCAACCCCTGTCACAGAACTAAAATGAAAGAACTGCAGACGTTGGAGATCTGAAACACACAAAACAAAATGCTGGATGATCTCAGGTCAGGTAGCATCTGTGAAGTGGAAAACAGTTAACGCTTCGAGTCCAGTGACCCTTCAGCAGAATTGGCTCACTGACTCTTAAAGCATGGAAATAGGTGCTTCAGCCTTGTGTCCACTCTGGTTCAGCAAGCACCTATCTACAGCTATCTACTCACTGTCATCATGTCATCTCTCTCCTCCTCCCACCCCAATGAACAATCTGTTTTTTCCTGTTTGGCAGTTAAGACACACCATTGTTCTGCCATTCTCACTTAATTTGCATTACCAACACCCTCTCTCACCCAGCACTACCTCCCACCCCCCACTCCCACTATTGCATAAATGCTGCCCCTACATACTTCACGTCAGTTCTGATGACAAGTCATCTAGACTCAAAATGTTAGCTTGCTCTCTCTTTCCATGGATGCTGCCTGACCCGCTGTGATTTCCAGCATTTTTTGTTTTCTGCACTTATCCACGCTAGTCCGATTTTCCAATACTTGGACCACAGCCTTATGCGCTATGGCATTTCAAGTCATCATCCAACTACCTTTTAAATACTGAGATAGTTCCAGCCTCTGATCTCTTTCAGGCAGTGAGTTCCCAACGAGTGAACAAAATCTTCCTTAATTTGTTATGTCTCACTGGGATAGTACACTTCAATTCAGCTGCTATTCTCATAGTCATCACAACAACTGAAATTTTTATAAAAGTATGCAAACTCCCCCAACTTACCTGTCATTTATACCCAGGTTGATCAAAACCTTGGATCGGGTTTCTGCACTTCACAAGAATGACGATTTATTGCAAATAAGTAGATTTCAGTTACTGGTAAACAATTATGAACTGATGACACATAACTCTACC